GGTGGTCCCCTGCCTGGCAAGGGGGACTGTCTCTGCTTGCTGCTGCCAGAGCAAACCGGTGCTTGAACCCTGGGTTTGAGAGTCAGGTTAACACACCAGGCACTCGGGACCTGCTTCCAGCAGGAGAACTCAACTTCCGAAGGAAGGCTGCGGGGGAAGAGAGTCTGCTGTATCCTTTCCCCCTCTGTCACAAACGCTTGAAGTAGAGTTAAACGCAGGCTTGTGTCCTAACATTAGAGGATTAAGACAGGTACTTCCCAAAGCTAGTACTAAACAGTTTTCTTCCTGAATTTTAATTAAAAAAAAAAAAAAATTACACTCTTTGTTACTGTTGCCTCTGAGACCTGACGGATAGCAATGTGTCTCTCTTTCATTTCAGCTCCTGATGAGGATATACTTGTTAAAGGAAAGCAGTCCATCAAGAGTCAAGTTTTAGGAAATCAGAACTCAGAAAGTGAGATGCTCTTGGAAGGCGACGACGATATCATGTCATTCATGGAGGAAAGAGAAGTGGAGAACTTAACGGGTAACTTCAGCTATCTAATTTTCTCCTCAGCTTCTTTACTATTTAAGCAATCTCCCCTGCTCTGCAGTGGATCATGTTTTGGCATACACACTGATAAATTGTTCCTTCCCATAATTGGGTCGTTAAGATCATTTTCTGTGCACCTCAGATGCTGAGGCTTTTCTTGAGGAGAGTTGTGCATTTTCTTTCTCTGGCTTTTATAACCTTCTTGCTTCTGCAGTAGATGTCTGTATTCTAGGAAACCTTCCTTAGAGAAAGTAGCTCTAGCTTGAAAAGGGCTTCCTTTCTTTGGTTTGACCTCGTTCCACTCCTCAAATCTTTAGACCTAGTGGACAATTAGGCAAGTTGTCTGTAATTAAAGGCTTTGGAGAGCTTCAGTTTTTTGCTGAGTTTTTAAAATTGTATGTATTGGTTATTTACTTGGGTTTCAAGGATTTGTACACTCACTGGATTTAATTCCTTTAAACCCTCTGTCATCCCCCCATTGAAGTCCCTTCTCCACAGACCATAGTCTACTAGACTTCACTCCTTTTTTATGAAGAAGAAATAGTACTTCGGATCTTTGAACTTGATTTTACTCAGTCGCATGCAACCTTTGCTGATGTTGCCGTGAGTGGAGTGGGTCCACTGCTGTACAGTTCAAAATGTAAAAACAGAGTAACCTCCTCGGTTCAGGGACTGGGAGTTATGAAAGAGTCTCCATTGTTATTTGAGGAACGTGGGTCTTACAGGGAAAATGCAAACTTCTCTATGTTCTTCTGTTTTCTCAACTGGTATCCCACGTACATTTACTTTAGAGAAAAATGTCATTTCTTGGATAATTCTGGTTCCCCGAGAAGCTAGTAGTATAATCTTACATTGATATGTATCATACATATGATAATTCAGTGAAATTACTGGAAGTGATTATTTGTTGGCAGTTTGCTTATCCTTGAACTGCATTCCACTCTGTATTTTTTTTAAAAGCTAAGTTAAAAATGCAGCATAATGAAAAAAGAAAACCTGCGTGGGAAGAGTGAAGTAAAATAAAGTAACGGGAGAATAATGCAATGGTATTTTCTGTATGTGAGTCTTTTTTTTCCCCTTTCTACCACGAGCTTCCTTCTCAACAGCCTTCTCCGTGTTTCCTTCTCTTTTATTATTCATTCATTGGTTCGAGTAATGCATTCATACTGTAATAGAGGTGAAAGGGGAGTTTAATTATATAATCTTGACAATGGCAATAGGATTAAGAAGTAATCCTCACTAATAAAGTGGTGTGGGTTAGAAATGAAGTGGAAATTGTCAGGGGTCTTCCACAGGACCTGGACTGCCCCAGCTTCTGCAGCTGTCTGCTTGCCCTGTAATTGAATGTCTGCGAGTGATTGAAAAAATGTTATTTCTCCTCTGGATTACATGCTAATGTACAGAGGGCAAAGGGAGACAGCAAAAGAACACATAGCTGCTTATTTCATCCATTTGTGGGGGTGAGCTTTGGGAAATCATGGCAGTTCCGCAGCTATCTCATGCCCATCTGCAAACACAATGTATTTGTACATTGGGAATACAGGGCAAAGCTGCTCTGATCTCAGCAGAGCATCTCTTCTTTTGTCCTAGTGGCACACATTGAGATTGATGCGAGATTAAGGACCATCACCATCCTAACAATCGATGGAAATGACAATTCATCTGAATTTTTTGTCAGTTATTCTCACGTTGATTACCTGAACGTGTGTACCTCATTTATAGATGCTTTATTAAAACAAAATTGTCTGTGCCACTTCCATACCTTCCACTGTTTTACAGAAGTCAGATAATACTACAGCCAAGTAACTTCATCTCCTTACCTCTTAATCAGCTGGATGACACACCTAACCTGCTTTCTTTCTGTATGTGTTAGTTTATATAATAGGTTCTGCATTGTCAGATCTATGCTGAAACTATTGTTTTCAGTAGTAGTCTGGTTTGTCCCTGTGATAAGCCCTGTGGAGATGTGATTATTCCAATAAAAATTCATTCAGTTGGAAACCAACCCTCCAGCTGTTTACTCCCACAGTCCCCGAGCTACACTAACACTGTATGAAATCCTTCAACAATATTTAACGTGGAATCAAAAGCATCTTTAAAACATTTTACTTTGGGTTCTATAACATTGCATAATCTTAACAATAGATTTCTAGCATCCATGAGGGAACACTTTACAGTTGGACAAATTTGAGCCTTGACTGCTATGGTTCGTCTTTGTGGAAAGCTATCAAAACTCTCTAGTACCTAAAGAACACATCTGACAGTAAGATTTCAAGTGTTCATGTGTGCGCTCTCTATATTGCATATAACAAAAGGTATGCAACTCCCAAAGTTTCTCGAAAAGAAAATGCGTCTGAGAAAAACTATATACTGCCATGCTAAAGCCAGCTCTGGCACGTATAATGTATGTATCAGTTTGCAATTGTAGCTGCTTCAGTGTTCGGCAGCACAGAGACACTGTAAATCTATTACATATGTTCTTTTCCGGGATAAAGAGAGTTTTGCTTTTTAAGGAAGAGCTATGCTCTTCGCTTTATTTATTTTAATGTCCTAGGCTTGAAAAGCAAATAATTTGCACTCGCGCTCTTTTCTGTTTTGAATATTGTTGGTGTTTTCACTCTTTGGCAGGTCCAGTTGCCCTAAGCACACCAGCTCAGCTTGTGGCACCCTCAGTAGTAGTGAAAGGCACTCTTTCTTGAGGTGGATGAAGAAGATCCCAGTTTTAAGAAAATCGACCCGAAGGTAAGAGATCATTGACCCTGAGCTCTGAGAGATGATGACAAATTACCCAAGAGCTTTAATTCTTCATTCGACTTCCTTTACCTCTATTGGTCCGCAGTGTTCCTGCTTCAATAAGTTTGTGACTGACCATATATGTTACTGAACTTCACGTAGGTGACACCTCCTTTCCTTCTCCTTTTTCTCCCCCTCCCACAATTCGACCCTACTTGAATGTTAATTAGCTTGCTGCGAATAAAGCTCCAGGGAGGCATCTTAAATAAAGACATCTTGAATCACAGGCCTGTGTGAATACTGGAAAGTTGAACAAGGCTTTTAGCCCAAACGCTTTGTTTTACTTTCCTATTTTTATATAGTGCCAGTGTAACATAGCACTAAACTTCCTACACTCGTAAGTTTTCAGCGCTTCTGTGTCGTGTTATTCCATAACAGATTTTACAGGGCCTGTTATTATTTATTGTGCCTAAGCACAAAACATAATTGCCCTCTTAAAATACGTTTCTGAACTGACTTGCTAATTGCCACAAACTTTATTTGCTCCGAGTTACTTGGTTACTAGTGTTTTGTTTAAAATTGGTAACCTTCAGTAAAAGTCCTATTTCAAAGGCAGTATATTGTGCGATTAGCTTAATAAGGTTGTACTTGCATGTTTTCTACAGTATCACAGCAACATTTCAAAAGTATGACATGATTGGTAAATATTCGTGCATTCCAATTTAAGCACAGCGATGGCTCTTGGTTTTTTTAAAGATCTGCTTAATATTAAACAAGGTAATAATTTCTTTGTGAAGGGGAAAAAAGACACTGGCAGAAGTAGTGGCTTTCAGCTTGTCTGTAGAGAATACCTTGTGTGTTACGCGCCAGTTCAGTTCTTTGTTCCTATTGAGTAAATTGCTCGTCTGTACTAAAAATGGCATCGATGGGTCTGAAAACTGGGATTATCAAATCCTATCAAGGAATAAATTTATTTTGAAAAACAATGCTCTCAAATTCTTAGGACTAGAATTTAATATAAGCAGTTAACTAGAACTGTGATTTTTATGCAATACCATAAATGAGACTTAACTTTTCTTTTGGTCCTGAAGTATTTTTGAAATATTTCTGAAATTATTTCAAGTATGAGATAGGTCTTAAAATCTTGATATGCTTACTCCTTCCATAGTGTGGGGTTTTTTTTTTTAAATTTAATGGTAAAAGGGATATAAATATAAAATGTAAAGACAGTTTGGTATGTTACTGTATTGCATTTTCCATCTAAAGTGTTCTGCTTTGTATTGCATTAGCAAGAGGAAAGTCTTAGAGATCTGCATTATTCTGCATTATTCTGCATTTTTGTTTTCCATGTTTAGCACATAGGGTGTTTGAGTACAGTTACTAATTCTTACCATTCCTGTTACATGTTTTATGGGGACATTGCCATACAACATATATTCAGCTTGCTTTCTTTTCTCCTGTTTTCGAGTATTTGGTAGCGGTTGTTTTCTTAACTGTGAGTAGGCATTCTGGTTTGATTTGACTGTCTCTTTAATCCTGTATCTGAGAGATTTTATTTGGGTTCCTGTAAGAGGAGGAGTTGGTTACATGAAATACAGGCTACACCTCTTACGTTCTACTTGTGATGCTACTTCAGCTGGAGGTCTTAAAAGGAAGAAAAAAAAAAGAACTTTTGTACTGTCTCTTGTGAGGTGGGGGGGCTAAAAATACAATCTGAATATTTTTATTTTAGAAAGCAAATGAGCTTACAACGCAGCTTTCCTTCAAGCATTAACGCCTCCCTGCCCCACCCTCTGCTTAAGTTACTGTACCTTGACAGCGGTGACTACAGCTGCTGTAGAAAATGCCCCTTGGAAAAAAAATGCTAATCCGCCGTAGCTCAGAAGGCCTGTTTAATTAATGAGGCTTCATCTGTTTGATAAATTTAGTTCCTTGTGTATTTGTCTAAACTACCGCAAAGAAAACATTGTGACAAGTTCCTGAAGAAAAACCTGCCGCGGAGATAGCATCAGCAGCGATAAGATGGGAGTTTACACTCTTACCCCGGGCTGTTTTCAGAAGGAAAGGGTAGCCCCGCGGGCTAAACCCATTTTGCCAGGTGAGCCAGGATCAGCGCTGGGGAAAGCGCTCTGATGACTCTCCGGGCAACTTGCGAAACACAGGCGGGCTGTCGCGCCCGGGGCCGAAGAGGCTGGCGACGAAGCAGCCCGGCTTTCTCTGGCGGGGGCCGGGGCCGGCGGTG